TTTTTTTAAGCCTTGAGAAGAGCATGTTCATGAGAAATAAACTATGAAGATTTAGTTACATGTCCAGAGTTTGGTAGATGACATATAGAGGAGACATACTAGCTCCTACAACCCTACCCCAACACCCTAGGAACAAACTCTCTTTCTAGATAAGTTTTACCAATAATGAACCTAGAACCATGGCAGGTCCAGAATAATAATTTCTGCCTCACCCTTTGCAGTAGCCTGGAGGAGTAATGATACCCATGACTCAACAACAGGTAAACGAAAGAGCATTAAAGGTTTAAGTCTGCCAAAAGAGCTGATGGGTTATAAAGGATGGACTGAAACCAGGAGCATTTGTATGAGATCGCCATCTAAAGAAAGGATAAGAAGGTAAATGGGTTGTTCAGAAGTCTCTGAAGACTCCTGAATGCCTGTACAATAGAAGAATCCAGGATATTTGACAACCCTCTTCTCAGCAAAGCTCAAAAAGACCCTCTTCTTAGAAAACATCTTCCCACACCCAGTGAACACCACTGAATAGAGAGATTAACAAATATTTCATTTATTTATTTTTTCATTTTAACTTCTCAATATACATTGTAGTTGATTTTCGTGACCCTTTACCCATTCTTCTTCCCCCNATACATTTAATATATCTTATGCAATATATTACAGTTCTATGGATTACCAAATTTAATCAGATATTATATTCAAGAGACTAATAAGCATTCAGCAAAACTGAAGTCAACACTGGACCCCCTGTACTGTGCTCAAAAATTTGTAAGGCAAAACATGCGGGAAAGTTGCTGATGGACTTGATGAACTTAATTTTTTCTCTGATAACTATTTCTGTACATATTTCTAATTTAGGAGTGGTATTCGTTCCACTTTACTAGGATTTATTTAATAAGAAACATTAATATTTACCATATAATAGTTTGCTGTTATCCCTCTTCTATAGTTTAAATGTTCAGCTTTGTCCCAGGTGTTTCTTCTCCTAGTTCCCATCAATAATGGAAGAAGATAGGATGCCT